ATATATCATATAAAAATATTTAATAGAATCCAAAGTGACATATATACATGTACTTAGATTCACAAGAGGTCTACAAGAGAGACGATGAAGAACAAAATGATAACTTGCGCACACTATTGAATGTTTATGAAATTTTTCATTTAAGACAAACATCAACTATATTTTCATAAAAGAGAAAACGTGTGAAAATGGGCTTTATCAAAAGAAGAAGAAAAAAAGATCATTTTCTATACAAATAACAAAAAAAAAAAAAAATCAGAAAGTAGACAGAAAAATCTGAAATAAATCGGTGTTTTTTTTGTTTTTTTGGAAATGGTTGTCAATTTTTTAAAATACCGAAAAAATGTCATGTTACGATCTTGCGTATTATCTATATTTTGTTTCGATCCTGTGTATACTTGTACTTTTCTTTAACTCTATAAACAACATAAGATTCTAAAATGATCTATTTTCTTCTAGAATGAAATCAGGTTCTAACTTTTAGTATACTAGAGAAATAATAAAAAAAAATCATTTTTAATTACTTCTTTTCTTTTGTTTTATTTCGAGTGTGACCGATTATTAGTATTTTTTTGTCTTTTATCAATTGAATTATGATGTGGAAAAGAAAGAACACATCAGATTTTTTTTTTTCTTCTTCTGTTTTCGTTCTTAATCATCTATATCGTGTCAAAAAACTCAAAGGAAATTTAGTTTTTTTTTTTTAGTAAAAATAATCAAATTTTTTTTTAATGTTAATAATCACACCAAGAAGAGGAAAAAAAAGCGTTTTTATGTTTTTCATTAAGTGCAGCAACATAGTCATTTTTAGCAAAAAAAAAAAAACAACGATTGAGGGAGAGAAAGCTGTTGTGAAACACGCAACGAGATTTTCTCAGATTTAATGAAAATGACTTTAATTTCAAAATCTGTCGATAACTACTCTGCAAGTCTTTAGTCAGTAACTAGAGACTGATGACTCATCGTTTTACAGTCTACCAGAGCCGTGGCGAGAGAAACACTCAGGGAGGAGTGTACATTTTTGGGAGAAAGGTAAAAATAACTGCGCGTTTACTGTAGCAACGGATGATAAAGGATTCTCAAATCTCTCATTTTAAGTTTGTTTGTCACAACATAAATGAAATACACTTCTCGTATAGGAATTCTTTGAAAATTTTTAATAGAAACTTAAAGACTGCATTTGGAATTTTTGACTAACCGTAAGCGAATAACCTGTAATGCTATAAAGCGAAAACATTGAACTTCATCAATGTTCACTTAACGGAAATGATCAACATCCTTCCTATATATATTCTCTGTTGAACAGTAACAATGAAATTTATGGTGAAGCAATAAAAAACATCAACATCTATTAACAGAGGTCGAATTCCAAATATGCCAATCTAGACTTTCAATTAGGACAGTTCAGATTGCCATTTTTGTAAGCTATTTAGCATATAAACACTTGAAAGATAGTTTGGGTATAGTTTACACATGCAAGTTGCCACAAAAAAACATGCTTGATAGTAGACTATTTTTCCTCTATTCTATTCTCTGCCAAGTTAGCACATATACAAACAGAAGAAGGTAGGTGTAAAATCCAATTAATGCAGAAAATAATGCAGTATGTGCGCGTATATCGCGTTCATTTTCTTTTTCTATTTATTATTAGATAAGATAGACCAGACAAACTTTCGTCTAATATCTAAATTTTTATGCATTCAATAATAATAAAGTTGATTGTTATACACAAAAAATATGTCGTCTTTCGAAGACGATGTTATACTCTTCTTTCCGTTAAAAAAAAGAAAACAGCTAATTGACGAAAGACATGTTGAATGAAAAAATCTTAAGTATAAAATTAAAAACTTTACGAGTACTCCCTTCACCTCTCTTTTTCACCTTCTTGGCAAATCGAGAGCGAAAATCCAATTGAGTCCAAATTCATAACAGAAACAGAACATCAAAAAAGAAAATCGATATATTTTTGCCCTGAGTTTTCTAACACGTTCTTCTATGGGTTTCCAGGAAGACTATGGTTTTCATTGGCGTACAACACGATCCTCCGAAAACTTCATCCGATCGGGTCCAACCAAATGGGAATTTTTCGTTTTCGTTTTTGAGCTTTCCTTCTCAAGATATAAAAAAATGGTAAAAGTCGTAGACGGAATCTCCGACTTTTGGCTTAGAAAACCTCGTAAATCGGAAAGAAATAATCAAAAACGAAAAATGAAAATTCCTGGGATATCGTCCCAGATACATGTGTTAAAATTTTGGATCCTATTGGATGAAGTTTTCAAAGGGTTCTAATGGATACCAATGAAAATCAGAGTTTCCAGAAAACTCTTATAGAATAGATAAAAGACAGAAAAATCAGGTGACTCACTTACTCCTAATTTCAAGTAGCATCTTCGTAATGATTTCAATCTGTTGGAAAATGAATGCTTACTAAATGGTTAATTTAAAGAGAAAACACTATTCAATGTAATTCGAAATGTTGCCTATCGATTAACAGTTTTTTCTTTATCATTCATTCAGAGAGAGAATAAATATATACTCATCAGGATCTATTACCACGTTTTCTCATCACTAGAAATAATTTAATATATTAGATATGATTTTGCAGCAGAATAAATTCCTTTTTCATCTAGTGAACGACTTGCGTACTTATATGATGTAAATATCTTCATGTGTGACGTTATACTATGTGAAAGAAAAAAGTAGAACAATAATGTTTATGATGCGTAAAAATAGAAATGTAATTATAAATAAAAATATAAATTGTAATATTTTCATTTAACTTAATTGATGATTCTGTCTCATATAACCTTTTTTGATTAATGAACTATTTGAACCATGATTATTGTTAAACTTTCTGCAAATAATTTTTATGATAACCTACATTTGAACGCAAATGTACTTTTAAAGATTATCTCTAACTTTACTGTCACCTTAGAGGAATACAGCAGAAGCAATTTTTTTTAAGAATCTTTTGCCTTGAAATCTCTCTGAGCAATAGCGGATGAATACAAACATCAAAACTTATTAGAAATGTCACTTTATTGACGTAGAATAAATATTCCCACAAAGGTGACAACCACAAGAATAAAATTCTTCTACTAACAGAATGATGAAAATAAAAGTAGAGTGTAAAACATTAATTATTCTATGCTCATTCAAAATGACAGTAGTTAATTATGTGTTAATTCTACAAAATACTAACTATTTTCGAGATTACATTCGTAGAAAGATAGTTTGTATTTACCTTTTTTCGAAGTAGCTAAGTATCTTGTACGTTTTTTGTTATTGTCGCCGTTTGAAATTATCTCTATTGGCTTTTTTTCATTGAACTTTTTTTCTTTTTCTATAATATTAATACAATAGTTCAATTTAGATATGCATAAAAGGTTTTTTTTTCTCTGTTACATACGGATAAAAGATGAACATGAAACAAAAATTGTTTGCTTTTTATTTTTTCTCCGATCAAAGTAGGCCTGAAGAGGAAGAAGATGAAGAAGTGATCGTCGCAATACCAGATGAACTGTTTCTTTTTCGCAGTACACGAGTTTCAAGCCAAATGTGTTTTTATTATTAAAAACGAACGAGAGAAAGAGAGAGATTGTCATTGTTTCTAAAAAAACCGACACTTTTTTCCACTCTAAGATCTTTTTTTTCCTTATCAATGATGGGCACTTTTTTTTGTTTAGAGAGATTCTGTAATATGAAGAATCTTGAAAAATATTTTTACCAAGCTGCAACACAAAAAAAAATTGAAAAATCTTCTATAGAAATTATATCAAACGAAGAACAGTATAGATCTTTTCCAGATGGAAAAGAAGGAAAGAAAAAGAAAAAGGAATATCATCACAATTTACGAAGCAAAATTAATAAGAGGTGGAAAGATAGGAAAAAAATTAACCATGTCGTTTTGAGCTCATATCATTATCCATACGTATTTCTTCTTCCTAACACAAAACTGCAACAAATTATCGAACCGATCAATCTAATACCAGATACTAAGTTTAGCTTAAAAGAATCATTAGCACTTCTCATCTTGCTGTTTACCTCAAAAATGATCAAATAGTTAGGGAAAAACTTCTTTTTCTCATACCCTTTCAAAACGTCCTAGACGAGCACTAGTGAATGAATTTTGTTTTTGTTAAAAAAAAGGTCAGATGTCCCATATATAACTAATAACGACATCTTACGGCAGATATTTTAAAATTTCTTGTATTTGCTAATTCAAGTAGTAATAAGTTTTGTAAATTCTTTTCTCGGTCGGTTGTGTTTACTAGGTACGAAAAAATTAACTGACTTAGGATTAATAAACTGAGGGCTTTACCTTCATAACGGTAGAGGTAGTTCTAAGTCACCTCCGGCTATCACCGTTTTACAGACTGAAAGCCTTTCATCTCATACTATGCGCGGATGAGCAAATGATTTGTTTCAAGAATGTCTGGACTTCATCTGTTACTAAAAGCTTCACAGTCGATATTTTAATCATCATATATATAATGTAACTTATGTACATAGAGCCTTCACTTAAAACTATATCCAATAAGAAATAATGTTGAACCTCTACGGTAACACCACTTGTTAGAAATTTTACACTTACTGCGTTCAGATTCGCTTTACAAAGTAATTCAAGAACTTTTTCTCTAACAATTCCTATAAATTTAGTAATAAATATTTTCTATACTTTTACTCTTTACAAATAGTAACCAATACCAGAATTGCGTATGATCTAGGCGTAAGCTCACGCCTTAACTTTTACGCCTAGCTATTTTATTTATTTGTTTATTTTTTTCTTTATTTTTAAATGTAACTTGCATTGTCTCATACCGCATGACTTTATCAAAAGTTTTTTTTATTAAAATGTTGAAAAAAGCGATTTCTTTCAAGAAAATGAATCATTTGTTTGTTCTTTTAGATTATTAGTTTTTTTGTATTCTACTTAAGGATGTCTGATAAATTAACTTCGCCTGGCTAGAATTATTGCACTTATTTTTTTATAAAGAATTATGTTGAAACGACTTCGTAATATTTTTGGTTCGACACCCAACGATGATAAATTTAAGAAGAAAAAGTATACATCACTATTAAATGAACGTTCACCATTACAAGAATGGAAATTAGTGAAAGAATTAGGCGATGGTGCATTTGGAAAAGTTTATCAAGCTTATAGTGAACAATTGAAACAGTATGCGGCTGCTAAGGTCATCGATGAATGCCCAGAAGATGAATTAGCCGAACATACAGTTGAAATTGATATACTACATGAGTGTCAACATGAAAATATCATTAAATTTTATGATGCTTATTATCATGATCAAAAATTATACATATTTTTGGAATATTGTTATTTTGGAGCAGTTGATAATATTATGACTACGCTAGATCATGCTTTGAATGAACAACAAATTCGATTTATTGCACACGAGTTGTTAGAAGCCTTACATTATTTACATAATGTTAAATTTGTTATTCATCGTGATATAAAAGCTTCAAATGTTCTACTAACAGAAGATGGACGTGTGAAATTAGCTGATTTTGGAGTATCAGTTAAAAATTCGAGTTTAAACGAAACAAGAAATGAATATATAGGAACAGTTTACTGGTAAGGTTTTATTTAACATAGTTTCACTGTCTATATCACACGTATATCTATCTACAACATCTCTCTATAAGGCATCACAGAGTATACAAGCTTTGGTCACTGATCAAAGATATAAGCTGTATGGATTGAACAATAGAGGTAGAACACACTATATCAGTGTAGAAGATGGAGAGGAGAACATCTCAGAGTTTACGTTCGGATAATTTAGTCCAAAAGTAAATTCTTTACATTTGAATTTAAAGTTCAAGCGTTCGATTCCATTAACTGTGTACTGTTCTTTTGGGCTTTGCTTTTTTCTGTTCTATCCTCATCTTTCTCAATCAATCAACATGTATACTGTCTATTACTCGTTAAAAAAACAAAATATTGTTATTTTGTGTTTAGGATGAGTCCGGAAGTATTTTTCTGTGAAGCGAATACGAGTAATACGTATGATTATCGTGTTGACATTTGGTCATTTGCTATTACACTCATCGAAATGGCTGAAATGGATCCACCACATCATGAAATGAAAGCTGAACGTGTGGGAGCTAAAATTCGTCAGGGTGAACCGCCAACATTGAGTGAAATAAAAAAATGGAGTGCTGAATTTTCAAATATATTATCATGTTGTTTAAAACGTGATCCAAATCAACGGTTAACAACAACAGAATTAAAACAGCATCCATTTGTTATTAATTCAAAAACAAATCAGCCAGTTTTATATTTATTAGAAGAATATAAAGCTGTACCAATCGTTGATGTTGTTGAGGAGGATGTTATTGACACCAAAACAAGTAAGATTCTTCTATACAGAGAGGAGCTAAGAAGCTTTTTACTGGGTTATACATAATGTAAATGTTAGAATCTCGTGTCATTTTAGATCAACAACCAACATCGTCAAAACTGCCGTTAAATGAAACGACCAATCATCATCGTTCATCGACCACATCAATCGATGACAGTTTAAAACAATTTACAGGTCCAAATGATGAACTGATGGACGGTGAGGATGACGAAGATGATTTGGATGATGATGAAGAAATGGGTGCCAATTTGGCTATTGCTATCGATGGTAATGAAAATACAAATGGTGACGCAAATGAAAATGGCGATGGAATTGTGCTGACAAAAATACGAAGATTGTCAAGTACCGAACCAATTCCAGATGAAGTCACAAAAGGAAAAGAGAACGAAAAGAAACCACCGAAAGTAGCAGTACAATCCACCACATCTAAGTAAGTTTTGCATTCTGAGGTGGGATTTTTAGGGCAAATATTGGATCATCTTTTGATTATTTTAGCTTATCTACGAAACCTCCACCAGTGCCCACATCCATTTCTTCGATGAAGTCTAATAATAATAATTCATTTATTCCTGTTGCACCTCCGTTACCTGCACACCTTCAGTCTCCACCGACTAAGTTAAATTCATCATTTACACCGAGCAATGGCGATCAGCAGCAGCAAAAGCCTAATTTAAAACGAGAATCTATGATTATTACTACGCAATTTCCAACCAAGCAACGGTCACCATCTGAAACTAAACCCAGTATTCCAAAATCTTCTCTGCCACCAGCCACCAACAAGTTGCCAGCACCAACTATACAACAGACAAAAATACCAGCAAAAATCGTTACGCCTCCATCACCGATCCAAGTTAAACTACCAACTCCCCCGCCCTTATTATCATCTATGGACAAAAACCCATCAGTTGGTGTCACAACGGTACGCATAAATGGTAATGAACGTCAGCCATCGCCACGAATCGAAGTTGGACGGCTAAATATGGAGGATGTCAAGCCAACGGATCGAGAATTAGATGATATTTGTCAAGTATACGTTAACAGTCTAATTGAAGAAGTAATACAATCTGATTTTGAAAAGCCTTCAATACCAGAGGTAAAATGAATTTGTTTTTAAGCAGTTGATAGATCCTGTTTTTATTTGTTGATTGCATTTTTAGGTTATCCTTGCCGTAATTACTGATCTAACAAACGACGAAACAGATGTTGATGTTGATTATCCTGACTATCTTTCTCACCAACCAGCAACTTCATCACTTGCAGTTTCTAGTTATCCAACACCGCCATCTTCCTCATCAACAATGTTATACGATCAGCGACGTAGTCGGTCTATTGATATTCAACATCATTTACAGATACAACCCCAAGCACAACTGCCGCATTTCGAAAACAATGTTAATAGCAACAGTCATAATTCTGTTTATAATTTTAGTACAATAGCAGCAAAAGCACGAAGTGTATCACCATCAACATCACGTCAACTAGTTTTAAATTATCAGCAAAATGGAGGTACAAATGGAAACCCTGATTATTATAATAAAGTGCATCGTTCGACAAATAATAACGGAGCTGGTGGACATGATTCATTGAGAAGCACAAGCTCGAATCAAAGCCAAGATTCGTCGGATACAGCATCTTACCGTCAGGTACATTTTCAAAATTATCTATCTATTTTTATGTTTGAACAGCTTGATTGAACGGTTACATTGTGCCGTCATGTATTTTAAAAATCCTACGTTCGTATTGCAATACCGACGAGTCTTGTACTAACATTGGGCAAGCTAAACAAAATTGTGTGCCTTAGCTCACCCGTTCAGTAACATACTGCGTTATGAATTTGCAACATAGTTTCTCGGACTTGTCAGAAAGCGAGTGCTTGTTAAGTAAATGTGTATGAAGAATTCATGATCTAGCGGTTAACAAAAAAAATCTTCCTTTCGTAATTCTTTTGCAATGTATTTAAGGCAAGATAAAACTGCCGCAAAAAAAATCGACGAAATCTGTAGCAACAGCATCCCTTGGCCGTTAGATCATCAAGTAATTGGGCAAAAAACTCTGCGATAGACTAACCTAATGTTCAGATCTGCGATTGATGGTTAGTAAATAAATTGATGACTACGTTTGAGGATTGTCAACGGGAGGAATGATATCGAGCTACTCCAAATTGATAAACCTCTAAGAAATTTGTTAGCACCACATACTGATAACGGTAGCAGGAAGAGGAAGAGAATATCCTTATTTTCTGTTCACTTTTTTAAGACAAGAGCGACTCGTCGACGAACAATTCGGACAACTCGACGATTTGTTGTTGATGGAAAAGAAGAAGAAATTGTCACAACAAAAATAGTTGAACCACACAATGATTATGCAAGACGATTGACAGAAAGGTAATGTATTATTATTACTCTTTATTTTTTATTATTCTCCTTCTTACTTTTATTTTTAGAAAAGAGGCAAATCGTGAATTTCGTCGTCTATATCATTTGGAAGAAAAACGTCGACAACAACTACTTACACGTCATGAATATGAAATTGAAGAACAAAAACAAGAATTTCGACGTAAACGTGAGGATTTATGTAAAAAATACGATTTTGAATTACAAACAATGGAACAAAAACAAAAGGCGGAAATTGAACGAGAAATGTTACTTTTGACAAATGAATATAATAAAAAAATGAAAACAATTAAATTAGATAATGACAAAGAGTTAAAACAATTTCGTGAACAACTAAGAGAACAACTAAAACAAATCAGACGTGATTATGAAACAGCATCACAACAACAACAACCCTCATATCATCATCAAACATATAACGGAGCAATGAGTGTAAATATGATTGGACATACCAATGGTAAGTATTGATGTATAATAGAAAGTCGCATTATTTACCTATTTTTCTGTTATGAATACTTTTTGAGCTATCAAATAAAAAATTTTCGTTTAGGTAATCAATCGTTAACAATGAAAGATCGTAAAGACCAAATCAAACGTTATTTGACCGAAAAAGAAGATGAATTTTATATGAAAGAAAAACAATATCAAGATAATCAACAAACACAACTTGAACAACAACTAAAAACAATTGAAAATTATCATAAACAACGTATTCAAGCATTAGAACGTCAATTTCTAACTGAAAGACAAAATTTATTAAAAACAAAAGAGCAAGCATTATGGGAAGTAGATGAAGGTAAGATTTATTCATTTTAATAGATTAAAAATTATAATTATTTTGTTTTTTAGTCGAATTACGTTCCAGATATGATTTATTAAGAAAACAAACAAAAGCATTTTATTCATTATTTCGTACAATGTTAAATCAACAAGCTGAAAAAGAATTACAACAATTAGATGAACAAGGTCGATTTGATCGTGATAATTTAGAACAAAAATTACAAGAAGATAAAAGACAATGGCCAAGAATATGGAAAAAAATGCAAAAAACAAGAATGAAACAATTTAAACAACAATTATTAATTAATAAAACATCATTTGAAGATGAAAAAATTTTATTAAAAAAAGTATTATTATCAATTAATTTAAAAATAATTTTATATATTGTTTCTATACTACTTCTAGTTTGAAAATGATGAAAATGAAAAACGACGTGTACATGAAGAACGTTTAAAAGGCAAACATCGACATTCAGTACAAAATTTAATTGCCAAACATCAAATAACTCGAAATGAACTTCTTACTGTACAGGTGAGAGATAGACTAGTTATAAAAACACAAAAAATATCACTATTTATTTATTTAATTATTACGGATAGTAGCATTGATAACAGTTTTGTATATTCATTTAAATGTCAATAAGTTCTAAAACTATCATTTATTAATAAAATATGTGTACTGTTGTGTATGTTTAGAGACAAAAACTTGAACAATGTGTTGATTTTGAAACGAGAAAATTACAAGAATTACAATCAACATTTGAATGCGATTGGGTTGAATTTCGTAATACACAGAAATCACGAAAATTGGTAAGTAAAGATAATATCGTTTTATGAATATTTGAGTCTGAATTGATTTAAAACTAGACTACAAAGATCATTATGAGTTAAGTTTTGTAGTACGATCTATCTAATATTATTTAGTGTATATATGATTTTTTTTTTCTTATCCATTCCTTAGTTTCTCTTAGTATATTATATTGATTCTTGTTTTAAATGGAAAAAACATATTAATTACATCTACAATTTTAGAAACAGAAAATATTATTTTAAACCGTTATCAATTAATAAGAACAGAAGTTTTAAAAATTGAAAAAGATAAAATCTTCTTAAAAAGAAATATATTTTTTGACAGAACATCTAGTATTTAAACGATAATATTTAGTACTCTAAATCATTTTTACTAAATAAGTTTCAGTTAAAAATATATCCTTTTAATGAAGTACAGACGCGTTGGTAATGAGTATAGACATCTAATAATAATTCTAGATTGATCAGTTTAATAAAAATCTTCAGAATGTTGAAAATGCGTTGCATGCATTTTGGTTAAGTCCAAGTAGTAGAGGTAACCATCGATCATCATCACCATCTGATTCAATATACGACTATTTTTCCGATATGAATACAAATAAAACTTCTGTTCATCAACAAATAAATCGTCCTTCGCATTCACCATTACCATCATCATATTTCGATCAAGATAATTATTTTCGAGATTATATTAAAAAACTTGAACATGAACAACAAGAGAGTAAACATCAAACATTTGTTTATAATGCTGATGAAACATCATTGAATGTTTTATTGGATCCAAATTTTCGACCATTAACTACCAATGAACAAAAACAAGTTCAACAAACTTCAAATGTTTATCAAAATTATCCTCAATCATTTCCTCAAAGATCTTTATCCTATCAAAATTTATACTGTCAATTTCCTGATCAAAAACGAACATCTCCATTTACAGTTGATAATCACACACGAGCATATTCTTTGTCAGGACAAAATCGTGCATCGTTTGATCCATCTACTGATCTACCTCAAATATCAAGTTATAGTTATTATGCAACATTGCCTCGAGGAGATCCATCTTCATCTCGACACAAATCAACATTGTTTTCTGTTGTTCATCTATAAAATCACTATTATTTCTATTTTATCATATAAAAAAAAAAAAAAAAACATCACACAATAAAACATAAGGTAAACAGAATATAGCTGATACTAAATCGGTGATGTGTGTATGATGACCATCATTGAATGGCTTGATCGTCTTTTTTTTTTATTTTTAATAACATAAATTAGTATAAAATGGTGATTGGTCCTATAACGGATCTAGAAAGTCGATACCATTGTGTATATGTTATAAATTTTTTTGCTCTTTAACTTTCTAGATCCGTAGTTAATGCTCGCTATGCTATAATGAATAATTTGCAACCATAATTATTAGTTTTGAATTTTTTTTTTCACTTTCATTTTATTTTCTATCATTGTTTTTCAGTCTTCAATGGGCGGTCGTAATGCAGTTCAAAACGGTTTAAATACAATATCTGTATTTGATTTTCGTTTAAACAAATTAAATAATATTCAACCAGGTCAATATCGTTATTCATCTTCATCTATCCTTTCGAATAACGATATTTCTAAGACAACTTACTATCGAAAAATTTCCCCATTGACAGTACCTATTAATAAATCATTCGTTGAATTACACTATCAACAACAAAAACAGTCTCCAGCACCTGTTATATTGCGTTCAACACCGGGCCTCTTGCAATCATGGCATTCATGGCCTGGCGTTGATCTAGTAGATGATATACAATTTCATGATATAAGTGATAAAAGTGAAAGTATACTATTTTGAGTAGGTAAAAAAACAACAACAACACTCATCATCTCTCTTTTTTGGGAATGCACCATATTATTCTATATACATACACAGTTTTTGTGCTTTTTTTTTGTTATCCTCTTCATTCATCAACAACACGCAAATATTTACACATAATTCTATCTGTGTGTTTTATTTTGTTTTATTGCGTCTTGTGATTATTAAAACAAAAATCATTGCTTTAAACGATGATTTGCTGTGCTCAACATATCTTTTCTATTTGGGAATTTAATCTTAATTATTCTACTAATACAGCACGCCATATTTAATACAAATTTTACAATAAACTAATTCATGTTTTTTATTTTTTATTTAGGAATTAGAAGACAAATTTGCTCGTGAAAATACCAAACAACGTGATTTTTATTTTGATACTCCACCATCTACATTTATATCTGTGAGCTAAAAGAGAAAGCATTTTTTTATTTTTTATTTTATTCTTATTAAATATTAGTATGCATGTCTTCCTTCTATTGTTGTTTTTTTCTCGTTTGTTTTCGCATTCATTCAGTTGTTTGTTTCTTTCTTTTCCTATTCGATGAAAATAATAAAGTATGTTTTAGTTGTGTTTTATAATCTTCACTTTTTAATTTCATAAATAGGAAGATAGTAAACAAAAATGTTTATATATAAAAAGATAATTTCGTATTTGAAAGTTTAATTTTTTTAGCAAAATTACTTCTTTTCATTCATGAGTCGTTCGTATTGTTGGATGCGATTAGACAATCTTTTGTTTTTAAAAATTTTGTGAGGTGACAAAAAACATTCTTTCTTTCTTTCTCGTTTAAACGATGTCTCAATATTGGCTATTTCCAAATTCGATTCATATAAAATGTTCTTTCAAAAAAATAGCCGTCGATTTTTAATTTTTAATGTACTTTAAGTACTTAACACAAAACTTGAAGAGCCAAAGAACTCGTGTTTTTATGCGTGTCACTGTATATAAATTATATATATCTATGTCTATCAAAAACTAAAACTACGTGTATTTTTCTTTCTCTTTAGTCCGTCCTTGTCTCTTAATGATCAAAAACTAACGTTTGTGCCTTTTTTTATCTATTTATTGTGTTTTCTTTTTTATCATATAATATAGGGGTCTATTTTATTTATTTGTTTTTTAAGCATGATTTAAGTGCTTTTTTTTTGCTTGTGAATTTTCCTTGTCTTTCGTCAGATATATTATTTTGTTGTTGTTCCCAATTATGATGATTGCTCTCACACATACACACCAAAAAGATCTTGATGATCGAGGAAAAGTGATGAACAAAAGGGGTTTGAAAGCAATAAAAACAATGTTTCTCTTTCGTTTTTTTTATTGTTTGTTTCTATTTAAAATGTGCACGATTTTGTTTGTACTTGCTCTGCTCATTTTTAATGGCACAGTTTTTTTCTTTCTTTGTCTTTGTCGTCGTTGTCTTCTTCTTTATAGTTTTTTTGAATAATAAAATTGACACTATAGTTCAAATGACATTAAATAATTTATATTATTATTAGCTAATATCCAAAGTTCATTCAAAAGATAGAATTTAACAGACTTTTGAACTTATGAGATTCGAATAAGAACCATACACTTCTAATTGTATTTTATCTACTATTACTAGCTAAATTGAATTGTATATTTTTACATTTACACAAATGCTTTTTTGTAGTATAGTTTTTTTTCCCGTTAGATTTGTATGTGAGTATTCATTCACACTAAACGATCGTCAATGTATAATCACATTTTATTACATTTACGTTATGTCATCGATTATGTTTTATGAACTATCGTTTTCTATATGCTATATAGATAAATTTTAATTAACCATATCTGCATGATCTAATCGTGGATATAGAACATTTTTGATCAAGATTCAGATATCAGAATTTGATACAAAATCACAAATATCATATTTTTTCTAATTATTTTCAAATGAGCTTTTTTGACCAGAACAATACAGAGAATAGATAAATACACTATGACACACAGACTGTGAACATAACACCTTTTAGTCACTGATATAAATCTTACAACTGAATGTTTTTCTTTCAAAATATTCGTAAAATTATGCAAGATTATTTTTTCCTGTCAAGTGATTGTATTGTCAAGTGTATTATATTCAAGTAATACAGTGTTTTAGATTCTTTTGTGTACTATATAATCGAGTGTTTTTTATTTGCTACTACTTGTCTAAATAAATTTGGCCGATGATTTTGATCGACATTTTACAAATAACACATGTTACTTTTTTGTGTGTACGTATCTATCGTCATCTACAATAAGTGTCTTGTTGTTTAATTTTTTGTTATTGTTACTGCTATATATATATATATTTCTTCACTTTGTCTCGGTATTGTTGTTGTTTCAAATAATAGCTGTTGACTTTACAATAACAACCAACAGCAATGTCCAGTTTCTTTATCGACATAGTATGTTTGAATAGGTTGTTTTTGTTATCTAGTATTCAGGACAAATTTGAATGAATGAATCTTTACAATCACATAAGTAGATACAAAGTATAAAACGACAACTGATTTATTTTAAAGGTCAATTAGAAAAATATAATTGTTTAATCAATGCGCAAATAGATTGGTAACTCGATAGTAACTCTTCTTCAACATCATTTATTGGATCAATTCTATCATTTGTTCCTAGCGTTAAGAAAGACAAAATTTCTGTTTTATATTCTGTTGATTGAAATGCTGTGCCACATGGTATTGTGGAATCAAAATCAGTAAAAAGTTCATTCACTTGGATTTTAAATTTTAGTTCATAATAAAGTAATATGTTTATCGATGTAGCTGTTTTACTATGATATTTATATGTTGATGGCATGTTGGACGTTTATGTCATGATACAATATGTCGCTCTGATACGTTTTTCATCATTAATATATGTTATATGAGGCACGATGACACAATATAAAATTTATAGTCGTCGTAATGGAATAACAAGACATCGATACATTTAATTGTAATACGTTCTTAATTGATAACACGCATATTTAATGTTAGGACTTCATTGGGAGCAAAACTTGTTTTTCTAATGTATCTTGTAATATAATATCTTTTCGATATTGACTACGAAATTAAAACATCGCATTCGATATTTTAAGAAAATTCATACAAAGAAACACATGAAAATTGACACACCGTCTAACATCAAGTTTATATCATCTATATTAAAACAGAGTTGAAATAAATTGCAAAAAGAGAGAGAATGTTCTTCTTACAATTTATTAACATTATCTGACAAATGTATAACATACTTCATACACACTACACAGTGGGCATTAAGGCGGAAATTTGAGCAAAAATCGACAAGTGAGCTTTTTTGAATTCGAACAGTAGTAAATGTAGTCCTTGAAAAGCGCTATCGAATGGTATATAATGATCGACTAGTAATGAACTCCTTCGATGAGT